CTGTTTCTAGTCTCTTCAAACTGCACGGAAAACACCACATCAAATCGACAGTCCGAATCCTGAAGCCTGAACACATGTCTCCATCGCATTTCGTGCCCACATGTGGTTCGAAAACCATTTCTGGAGAGCGGTACGAGCTTCCCTGTCCTGTTCCAAATATTTATCCCTGCCTGCAGTGCAGCCGGCTTTGGGCCACACTCCTGTGGAACTCGTACAAGGCGGCAACAGCCGGATGCCACGTTTCTTCGCTGGCATCGTGTCTGCCGCTGGCAACCCCAATGCTTAAATCTCCAGGCACATGAAATGTTCACTAACATGAACTAACATGTCTGTTTTGGCGTGCAACAAATCCAAGCAGGATAGGGGTGCTCCTGGGATGTCAGCTGTGTGTGTTGCTCTGTGCGTTGAACTTTGCCCGTGGAACGGCTTGAATCGACATAACGTAAACCAAGCAAAGCTCAAGGATATAACTTGCATGACCACCAGGGCCCCGTACAGGGTCTGTGCAGGCCCTGGCAGCAATGTGCGCACAGAACCGCTTGCTTTCTCATGAAAATTGCAGCATGTCCTTCAAAGGAACGACCCTAGGCTGGGATGTTGGAGCGAACTGGTCACACTGCTTCGCTCGGGTTCAACTACTCTGCCAGGAGTGCAGGGTTGCAGCCTTCTCTTGTCTTGCGGGTCCTTGGTGAGCGAAACAGCGGTGACGTCAGCATGCCAGCACAAACTCGTACTAGCCGCCTAGGCCTGGGCCAAAACATGAGACAGTTTCATCCCGAGCTGCCAGCTATATTGCATTCCATTGTGGCCCACTGTTGTGTCTATGTTTCATGGAGCACTCCCTGTCGCGGCCAAGCGGCGCCCCAGCTTCTCCAAGAGGTAAGTGCACAAGTTCCCTTGCAGGAGGGCTTGCAGAAGGGCGTTCTCTCTCTCTCTCTCTCTCCCTGAAGTGCAGCATTTCATTAGGCGTTTGCAGGGCGACATACTCCAGAGTCGTCGCTCATCGTGCGACACAAGCGGCCACACCCACCTCTTGCACTGGGCATTGGTAAGATGTGGGGCAGGGGAACTGGGTGACGTGAAAGACCAGCGGCTCCACAGAATCCAAGTCCTTCGTATCCTTGCCACTTACGCCTCATGTCATGTCAGGCCGGCAACCATGCAATCACGCCGAGTTCCTCAGCAGCTATAGTTGGCGTATAGTTGGCACTTGCACCATATTGGATGCATTTCTGTGGAACCCCTTGGATGAAAGGTGGTTTCACAGGTGAGTAAAGGCAAAAATTGTCCTGGCATAACAACAAGCATTGCTGTGTTGTCAAGCGCCTCCCATTCTACCTGTAATGCCAAAAGCTTAGCAGGGGAAACCACTTCACATGGGAAAATACACGTTCATCTTTTGGTATGTTGTACAACCTTGGGCGTGAGAACTGGCAAATGTAGCTTACTTTTTTGGAGGTCCCTCTTTAAGTCTTTCTTCATGTCTTTCTTGGTTCCTTTCTGCCTTGATCTGATATGTATCTTTGGTCTTTGGTTGTTTGTATAGCTTCCATATGTTCCTTTATTCTAGGTACAATACCACTTTTTTAGAGACCTCCGCCAGTCTAGCTTACATTTTTGGGTGGTTTCTTCCTTTCCTTTGTCTATTATTTTTCAATTTATATAGACCTTTCTTCCTTTTCTTATTTCTTTATGTCTTCCTCTTTCTCCTTCCTGGAATTATTTTTGTCTCTTCCTTTGCACCCCACCACCCCTCCAAAACAAGGCACAATTTGAACATGTCTATAAGTTGCATTTCCGTAAGTCACCACCGTTTTTGTAGAGATAGGGGGTGGTGATGCATTAACAACTGATAATATAGTAAATCCAGTTTGTGTGGCATCAATCCCTTTCAACCTACCGCGCGCGCCTCTTAAGGCGTGCGCAGGTTTGAACGTGCAGGATTCCTCCAGGGGAAAACTTGCCTTACTCATTGAGACATCCAACCCCTTTAGCTTTAGGATCATTTCGGCACAAATCAGCTCCATTGAAATGTAGACGACAACGCAGTAGCATGAAACGGGTCTGAAATGCTGGTCCCCCCCCTTCAGGTATATCTCTGAATAGCAAAAACATAAAGAATCATCAACGCGTTTGACGGTTGAGGCCCTGGTAATTATATCAAACATGAAGATTGGACCCTGCCCGCTCGATACATTGGTCTTACACCGCTGATGGCTGCCGTTGGACAGTTGCATTCACTCTGCACTGCAAGTTCACCATTGCTCCTTCCCCTTTCAGGACGAGAGCGGGAGCAAGTAAAAGCCGGCAAAGAGTTGGAAGTAGCGATGGCCAAGGTGTCAGCTAGCTAGTGGTTGATCATTTAAACCTCAGGCTGCCAAATCACTTGTTGAAACACCTGAAGTGTTCGTAAACAGCTGGGAGGTCCGCACCAACATCACTAAACCACGAGGTCGGTGCAAATCACCGTTCGGATTGCAACGTAAGGTGTCGAGTCTCTTCCATTTAATTTCACGGCGAAACGAACACAAGTCAACTCGATCAGAAAACACAAGGAATGACTCGATCTGCGCTCACCTGCGCTCACCTGCCTGCTTTCCGGAGCCGGAGGCTCTGCTGCACCTTACACCAGCCATGCCAGCGGACCAGCTCGGCACCTCGGCCCAGCAATGCCGATGAAGGTTGGACAGTTGATGAGAGGACCAACGTTTTGGTCATAGATATATAGTATATTATGTCCTCTCTCTCTCTCTCTCTTCTCAGCAGCAGCTAGCGCTCTTTTCAGAAGCGCCTCTCAGTTGCTTCAGTGAGGCCAGCTCCAGGCTGTTGCCTCGTGAAACAAAGCTGCTTACCCTCATGAGGGTTCTTCAGGACCATCTAGTATGGCCTGACTGTCGCCTCTTGTAGGCCTCACCAATCCAACTTTCTGCAGGAAGAAATGCGAAAAAGGACTCACCCCTTCCGCTTCCTGCCTCCCTGGCGTAGCCGTAAGAAGTTCAAGCGCCATGAACGAATCGTTGACCGCTGCACAGGGGTAAAGTTGACTTGCGCCAATTGGTAGGTGCCTTCATCGATGTACTGCTTTGCCGTTTTGCCACAGGACCAGCGACCACGGGCAATAGTTGCATCCAGACTCAGGGAAGTCTGAAAGAACCAAGTTGCTCCCCCCCCTACGCAAGCTATAGGGGGTATAGTCATCCTCTGCAAAACCCAGCTGCCGCAGTAAGGTGGTAAACAATTGCCGAAAACGGTGCGGCCCCTCAGGCCACAAAAGACTCTCCTCCCCTTGCCGCCGCAGGGAAGTAGCATAGGCAATCAAAGCGCTGCCCAGCACCCAGATAACTTGAGGATTGCCTTGCGACGTCTTGCTACCTGGTATGATGATGCTCATGCCTTTGCCGCGTTGATGAGGAATAACATGTTGGTGGGTCAACGAGAGCATCTCACTCGTCCTCAGCATGGCATTGAAGCCCAAAGCCACCAGTAGTGCGAACTCCTGGAACCCTTGTAAATGAGCCAGGCCCATCATGGCTTCCGAGCTCCCAGTGCGCTGGGACCGCACGAGAGGGGACATAGCAGCGCTGCCAGTTCCTGAAGTAATGGCTTGCAATCGGTAACTCCAGACGCAACGCTGGGTGAAACCGTTTCAGTGCCGACAAGAGGCGTCCCGAGTAGCTCATTGGCTCTCCCTCTTGGTAAGAAAGGTCAATGAATTCCGCAACCTGACGATCAAGCCGATGGGGCTTAGAAATGCTCAGCTTCTTTCGGCAGACATACTTGAAGAAACGATCCAAAGCAGTGCGGTAGGCTCGTAGTGTTCTTGGGCGCAGGCCTGCATACTGCAGGCTCTTCTTGCTACGCTTCATGGGCTCTGCTGGCCTTATCCGCAAAGTTCCATCGGCTGATAGTCCAAAGCGGAAAACATGTAGTTGTCCATGGCTAGCAAATAGGCACTGCGCCTGCGAGCCACTTTGTTGAGCCTCCGCGAACTGCTTCTGCTTTTTGCCAACACTCCCCTGGAGACCATGGAGTCCAGCGCATGGAAGAAGCGAAAATGCTGCTTGGTTCGAGTCCGTGCCCGCCTCTTCAAAAAGACGGCTACTGCCAAGAGCTCCAACTCATTGATATGGGCTTCCTGGCGCCATGCATAGGACATGAAGGCCTCGGTAAGTTGCCTGCCTCAACAACGCGGCCAGGTGCTCTTTCTCCCGGCCTTTGGCCATAAAGCTCTCCCTCAGCGCTAGGCTCTCTGCCATAGGGCCTGCTACATCCGGGTCTGCCAACCGGTTGGTAGCTAGGGCCATTTCTTCCAGGAAATGAGCTTCCCTGGCCTCGGCGACTGCTGCATCAAATTGCCAATCTGTTTCTATTTGCTCGCGCACAGCGCGCGCATAGGCCACACACATCTCCCAGGGGTATTCGGCCTCCTCTTCGGTGTCGCAGCACAGTGTGCCATCGGGGAGCTCCTCAACTTCATAAGATCGCAGCCCGGGTGGCCGGGGCAATCCATACCAGGACGGTCTGTTCGGACACAAGTGGCCAAAAGGACCCATGCAGCAACATGCGTCTTGATAAAACGTGTCAAGAAGGCACGCTTAATCTGTGTGACTGGTGTAGTGCAGAATTCAGGCCCCACCCACCCACCCATGGTCTTTTTCCTTCAGTGCCAGAAGGTGGACGCAAGGTAAAAGTAATGATGCATTGAATTTCTGCCAAACCCACCCACCCATCCATGATTTTCTTCATGATGACCAGCCACACGCGCAGTATGTTTGCGGCGACGCCAGAAGTATGCAGCGACGCCAGAAGTATTATGCGTCCACGTGGCCCGGTTTAGGGGCTGACATTGGGTTGACGTTAAGCTTGCTCAACTCTTGCCAGCCATGTGTGCCAATTTATGTTTGGAAACTTCCGCCCAATCATGAAACAAAACAAAAACCAAAACTACAGCGCATAGCCTTAAACGTGTTTTTTTTTTTAACGGGGTTGGTCGACTCGAGATCTGGTTCAATAGATCCGATCGGACGCTCGGTTGGCGCAGTTCTTGTTTTCAAGCCGTCGATCTGCAAATGCTGCCGCCACACCATATATAAATCGGTCCTCAGCTATATTCGGATCAAACACGGGTTCGATGGAGGTCGACGAGGGAAGGGCAGTGCGGCAAGCGAAAATCAAACGGCTTGCCGATGGCATTTTTTTGTGGGCTCGTGAAACCGGACGCTGGAGAATATCTGGGAAAAAACGGGTAGCCTGGTCTCTCACAAGTCCCTTCGCTATCGCAAGACTGCGAAGGCTCTCGAGCTGATCCGTGCATCCCTGCCAGACTGTGAGCAGAAGCGTGTTTGGACCAAGGCGTCCATTAGGGACGCCATCAGGTTGATGGTGAACGAACGCGGGCTCACAATTCCAACAACACCAGGTTTTACCTTTAAGGAGTGGCTAAAGCAACAAACAGTTGTTGTGCATGAACTCACACAAAAAGCAAGAAAGAACCTGTGGTGGGTTCGGAAGATGCAGTCGGTCGACAACATGGATACCCAGCTCGAGTGGTTTCAGGACAGCTCACACAGATTAAATGAAACCGATTTTGTCACTTGTGCGCCTGAACCCCTCCTATGATGTTTCTTGCGCATCTCCAATCAATGTGTGCGCATGCAGGACCAAGATTCGCAATGGGATGGACACGCTGGGGATTATAGTCGTGAAGGTCAGAGTCCCGAATCTCCTTTCAACTACTTGGTGTGCAATGTATATACAACACATGTATATGTGCTGGTACGACGCATGCAACTTCATGGGGTTAGGGTAGCGTGCCGTGTCCAGACCTAGTGTGGAGTAAGGAAGTGGTTGATTCCGCTTCAAGTGCTATCTCCACTGGAAAGGTTTCTTGGCATAACGTGGTACTTGCATTTTTCCCTCTTGTAGCACTCCCTCCTTCCAATCAAGCCCAAGGCTCTTCCTGCCTTTGACAAGACCGCCCAGAATATGGCTGCCTTGGATCGCTTTAGCAAGGCCGGGCTGTCGCCACTCAAGGGCAGCGACAACACCCGACAACATCAAGCTTTTCCTGTTTAAGGTGCAGTGTGAACTAGCTATCCCGAAACCCACCTGTTTTTGAACAGACCTATTGATCTATTCTTTCAAAACCCGGGGTTGGAAAAGCGTCCAAAGAAGTGAGCAGCAAGAGCTTCAAACTATGTAACTACTACCCCACGGTATGAAAATTCAGGGCCGTGCGCGTGCCGTGTATGTGAAACGTAACTATTTCAAAACGCTTGTACCTAGTCCATATAAAACTGAGTATACGGCTTTTCAAACCTAAGGCTGATGAAGGTTCCACCACATCCCCGAGTTCCAGCGATAAGCCAACCGAGTTTGCAAGCCCAGCCAGTGTTGAGACCCACCAACCAGCGAAGATTGCAGACGCGCTTCCAAGCAGTTTCTCGCCGGAACGATTTTGGGAGATGTCGGATGATGAAATTGCCCATCTAGATGAGGACCAGTTTTCTGCAGCGGTGGAGGCAGCCCTCCATCACCCACTCCAGACCATCTTTTGGAGTGAGATGCAAATGTCAGCTGGTGATGACACCATTCAGTTCGGAAACCCAGAAACCAGTGATCCCTTGGATGACTTGCAACACTTCGCAAAGTGGATTAGGACTAGGACAAGGCAGGATGAGGAGGCGGATTTTGGAGATTGCAGGGAGCAGTCAGGGGAAAAGGTTTGCCCTCCAGGGCGGGACCCACGGTGGGATGGCGATGAAAAGTTTTATGTGGAGTGGAATGGCTGCACCATGCAATGCGTCCCTGCAAATTGGCAGGGCCATCATGAAGGAGAGTGCGACTGTAGTGAGCTAGCGCCCACAGAGGTTGGGTGGTGGGATGAAAAGGAGGAAAAGGGTGAAGGGGAGGAGGAAAAGGAGGCATGGGAGCATTGGGAAGGGGAGGAAGCGCAGGAGCAAAAGGAAGCTCCATGCTCTTGGGAGCAGGAAGC